GAAGTTTTGTCACCTTCATGTCCAATATAATAAATCGAAAAGACGTCCGAACAGAGACATATTGATAGCGAACACTCTACGCATACGTGATCTCTAATTATTTTTTATAATTAAACCGCTTTACCGCTATAGGTCTATAATATTTTAAGGTGTTTGGTTTGACTATAAATTCTATCATCATACGGAGTTTTGTCATAATACCAGAAGAGTAAATCTAAGGTTCTCCTTGTTAGTTTATTTTTTGAATTATTATGCTCTCTTCTAATGTGCATCTCGACAATACTACATTATCCAGCAAAAAAATGTTTATATTAGGTTGTCAAATATCTCCCTTCCGCTTTTTTGCTCTTGGTTTATAATACAAAAAGGCGGAAGGGAGATATTTGACAACCTATTATTTTTAAAGTGTTTTGGATTTACTTGGTAATTATTATTATTCCATATTTCTTTATCTGCACTATCGGATAAATCTCTCGAGTGCATGCGCATTCCACGTTGTCGAGGTTCGCATCTGAGCCTCTGGGTGACCGCGCTCTCTCGGTCAGAGAGAAGAGAATTAAAAACAGTAGAGAAACATTACATAGGATATCGCAATTATGAAAGTCATTCCGTGGCGCTCATTACACCCTCTGTCAGAGCGTGAAACTTCAAAAAGTCGAGCTTGCTTGCATACACACGTACTAGGTGGAAGGAAGAGCCAAGCAGCAACACAAGGCACGTAGAAGATTCGTACTGGCGCACGGACATCGTCGCACTAGATGGACAGCCGATGATTAGATGAACCGGAGGAATGACGAAGGAACTGATTTGATGAAGTGTTAGACAAATTTCGAATAGGGCAAAATTTTGGACAGAAATAACTGGGTGATTTGTTATTCGAACTAGTAGTTGCTGTAACTTTCCGTACCGCAATTTAAAAATTTTAAATGCTTTAAATTTTTTTGAAAAATTTGATTTTTTTTCAATGTAATCGCGCTGTTGTTTTAGAAACGAAATATCAAAGCGCGTAAGCGATGCGGCGTCGCAGTCTAACAACGGAACATTATAAATCTTACTCATAAAAATTTAAACAAATTTTGTACTTATTATTAAAACCTCTATAAAACATCTTATAATTCGTTGTTCATATGTCTAATGATCATTTTTGACCGCAAGATGGCATTTTTTTTTGTTTTTTTATTGGATCTCGAAAACCGCTTCTAAAAACCCTTCTAAAAAATTAATTATTTCGGTATCGTTTCAAATTCATTATCAATACAAGTGAAGTTTTTTTTTGAATTATTGGAATCGGACGCTTCGTTCTCTCAAAACCTGAGTATCTATTTTTTGCACTTTTTGGAATCTTTGAAACGGTTGGATCTGCTTTGGCCAAGAACTAATCTGCACGTCTCCTAATCAATAGAAATCGAATGCTTTTTGAATCATTCAAATCGGTTCACCCGTGTTCTCGAAATCGTCAACAAAAAATTTTATCTACATATACATACATTTTTTCAGAAACCTTTGAAACGTAACGATATATAAAAAATTTCATATTCGATTTTTTCGCGATTACTACAACTTACCCTAGATGTAGTTAGAAAGTATAAATATAATTCAACTTACACAAATGTTAGAGAATTGTAGATATATATGGTATTAACTTCCCTCACTTCCCTTTGGATGAGTTATAGTAATCGCAAAAAAAAATCGAAAATTAATATTTTTATATATCTTTACGTTTCAAAGGTTTTTGAACATTTTGGCATACCTAAGAAAAAATGGATGGATGTATGTGTGTGTATGAGTGTGTGTGTGCGGATAGAAATTTTTTGTCGACGATTTCGAGAACACCGATCAATCAATTCAAATAATTTAAAAAACATTCGATTCATATTGATAAGGAAACGTGCACTTGAAAAGAAGTGCAAGATGAAAAACTGATTAAATTTTTGGGAAGGCAGGTTCAGCGGTTATGGACTCTTAATAAAAATACGTTAAAAAAATGTCATTTGGCGGTCAAAAATGTTTATTGGACATATGTACATCAAATTATAAGATATTTTATAGAGATTTTAATAATGTATACACATTTTGTGTAAATTTTTTTGGGTTCCGTACCAAGATTTTTAATTACGGTACGGGAAGTACCAGCAATTTGCCTTAAGGCACGATGTCATGCACCCCACTTGTTTATATAAAAATATCATAGATTTACCTATAGTATATTACTAGAGTTCGTTCTCATATGATGTTCGTCGGTCACACATGAAGGAGCCGTCGCCCTGTTTCTTCATTTCCGTCGCATCGTCGGTGTCTAAATTTTTGACAGTAGATATGTCACAAATTTTGATACAAGAGCCGTTGATGAAAAATGAATACATTGTTCAGCACGGCCGAATGCTCGTCTTTGCGCAACGGTTGGTTAGAAGTATAATTAAAATCCATCAACGGCTTGACAATGTGATATTTAATGCTCTGAAGTAAACAGGGTCAATAAAAGCAAATAATTATATTTGACTTTGGTTTCTAGAACATTAGGCATAAATAGAATAGAAATAGGAACAATTACTAATAGTTTATTTTGGCAAACCCTAAATATGCTAGTCATTTTTAAGAATTCTGAAACCTTCGCAAATATAAGATTTTTATCTGAGCGCGTGCATATATTAATTCCCTCCTACGACCTTTAAATGAAGTAATCCAATAATATCTCGTGGGCATCATCTATATTCAACAGTGTAATGATAACTATGAATGGCAAGTCGGCTAGCAGTCACCCGTTCCTTGCCGTACACGTTATGACCCATAAAATAATATTACAGGATAATAAAACAAATGAGTATCAGCTACTTGAGTTAGGGCAGTGGTTGGCAACCTTCTTGCTTTATATCCACTCAGAGAAAATGACACATATTTACTTAAGTTTTATTAGCCAACTGTACAAGGATGATACATGTTGATGATTGATTATGGTAATTTTCATCAGGTTTTTGAAATTCTATATCGGCTATTGTTAGTGATGTGGATAGACATATATGAAATATCGAGACTTAGAATATATATAATCGTCAGAACTACATGGTCTATGAGCTGTGTTTGCTATCGTGTATCCTAACTCAGTATTTTTTCTCGAAATAGCAACTTATCGGTCAACTACTTTTCTGTTCTATGAGTAGACTAGATATATTAGACATGCATATCTAATAGTATTAGCATATATGTGATGCAGCAATGTTTATGAAAGGCAATAAATCGAGTTTAAATTTGATTTTATACTGCTTGATATCGAGCAGGTCGGGGTTGAATTGAACCCGGGACTTGTAAGCACAAGCCTGAATCATGACACCACATTAGACTCATTTCTTTATTCAAACTATACTTTTATATTGAATTGTGGACTTAGACAGTGGTTATAATACAGAATCTGAAGATAACTTCTTAAATACAGCCCAAACACTTACTGACCAGCGTGACTTCTGTAATAATAAAATCTCTGCTTAATCTATAAAATTTACGTTCTTAAATAATAAACTTAAGCATCATTTTCATTAAATTGCAACAATTTTATGAAAAATCAATTTGGTCAACTAACTTTACCTATTTGTGAATTGAAACTAATGGGCCGATTCTGCCGCTTAACAGAAAAATGTTATGGCAAGGCTATGCTACGCTTCAATTCCAAACATTATGCTACTGAATCATACTGAATACTTTCAAAATGTCATGTGTTTGCTGTGCATTCAGGCGTTTTACACATAAACTGCAACGTCACCCGTATGTTATGGAACTGGATCAGAAAGACCCTGTTATTTAAGATCGATTACTTGGCATTTTTGCGGCTTCTAGGTTAGGTTTTCTATCTGATAAATCGCAAAAAAACGCCTGCCTGCACAACAACCACATGGCTTTTGTCAAATTTAGTATGGAAAGTTCTTGATATCATAGCAATGTCATAACATTGGTCTGTTATGCGGCAGAATCGGTTCATAAATTTGCGTTACAGATAGTTTTATACCCGTCAGAGATTAACTTTTTTCCCATATTTTAACAGCAATCAGACTCTCGCGTTTTATAAGCTGTTTGGCCGAAACTTTACGTCGGATTTTTAGATATTAACCCAATGGTTGATGCAAATTTGATAATTTTGACAATATATTTAATATCTATATTTCCAAGCAAAAACTGATATTGCTCCTACTTGATATCAATTACCTTAAAGTTTATTTCTCAATTGGAGGTCTAACGACAATTGAATGCAAGTCTATCCTTTATCATTGAAATGGAATTGCATCGTGGTAGTCCGATTGGAATCTCGTCGAGTGAATAAAGCACGCGCACACAAGGCTGCACGCCGCAGACATTAGACCGGCGACTCGCCACTGCGGGCTCTGCAATAAATCATGGTCGTTAAGCGATGCACACTGAAGTCTAGTAGAAGCGTCGTTGTATTATTATGTAACAAATATTACATCTTTAAGTATCTTTTTTCAAACAAGGATTATGGTTAACTCTATATGAAGTAATAATGTAGTATTCAATTAACTTGTATGCAAGAGCTATAAAAAGGAATAGAAATGCAGCCTTACTCTATAAATCATCGATTGAGTATGCCGTACATCTACGTAGATGATATTTATGGAGTTTTGTTTGAATAATTAAAAATATCTGTATTGGGGAAAGATACATATTCTTGTACATAAGATAAATATAAAGTCTTTTTTTCGTGGCACAATAGTAACCGTCTGGATTTAGAACCACATTTTCCAGTGATGGTTTAACTTAGCGTTTTGGACAACGTGTTATCTAGCAGTGGTGATATTCATTTTCACTTGAAAATCGGTCAAAATGTGTTTACTAGTGACAATGGTAACGGCTTGACAATGACGATGAGTTAAATATATCATCACTATTAGAATGATGAGAATGATAAATATCGAAACGAGATGAGACCGAGACCATGGGGATAACTCTAAATCGAAATCGAGAATTGGAGTTTTGAAATGTGGTGCTGGAGAGAAATGGAGAAGCTAAAGTGGATAGATAAGATACCAAATGAAGAAGATCTAGTACTCAAAGAAAGATATCTACTGAGCACTCAAAGAAAGAAAACTGGATCGGACCCATTCTGCAACAAGGGCGCCTTCTACATGACGTCGTCGAAGGTAAAATAGAAGGACTAAAAGGATTGGATAGAAGAAGAATGTATATGGTTGATGACTTACGCGTAAAAAAATACAGGGAACTGAAAAACGAAGCACACAATCAGAAAACCTGGAAACACAAGTTTGGAAATAAAAATTCATAAGAGTGAACAGAGAGTGATTTGCGCTAAAGGGAATAATAATAAGATGAGGGAAAGGGAATCATTGCTTTGTGATGCTCTTATGCCATGGACCTGCCTTTGGGCAGACTACTATTTATTTATTTATTATCACTATTAGAAAAGGACAATCATTGGGTTGCTTATATATAAGTCCATCAATAGTTAGGAATAATCAATGACTACCTTTTGAAAAGCCAGGCATTTACAAAAATGACAAATTTAACAGATTATAAAGCTGTTATTCTGATTGCTCTTCAAATATATACATATACAAAAAAGTAATCTAACAATAAGATAAATATAAACTATAACTGGAATCATCATCATAAAAAATAAAAAAGTGTGAACAAGATGATGGATAGATAATATAAAAATTTGAAAAGAATTTAAAGGAGTTAAGTCATGCTTGTATTTGTCGAACATAAAATTATTGTACGTTTTATATGAAGATAGCCAGTGGTATATTTTGTTTATTGATTCGCAAATAATAACTATTTTTTAGTATATTAATAAGTTGTGGCAGCACAAGTTGGCCATAGTATATAATTTTAATGACATATCGATTGTATGAATGATTCTGATTTTTAGTTACAGTTTTATACTAAGCAGGAGAAAATTATATATACTCGTCCAAAAATAATTCATCCTAGAATAGTTGTACTTATAAATGATTTGACTTCACTTTTAAGAATGCCGTCGGTCGGTACGTAAAAACAAACCATTTACACAGTATTAATCCCATGTTCTTAAATTAATTGTTACTTAAATTACTAACAGTTTTGTTGAATAAAATAGTATTTTAAGAAATGACAGTATATACTTTTGACATTGGATTTGCAATAAAAATAAATTATAGTAATGTGTTAAATGCTAAATTTAACTTAATTAAATATTAAAAATTGTAGAGGAATTATGTAGTGACTTGGATCCAATGTACAGAAATATTTGTGAGCAGATGAGCGTTGTAGTCACAGTCTTCCAAATCAATTTTCATGTTACGATCGGTATGAAATTTATATAAAATATTGTTCTCTTATTTTTCAGAAAAATGTGATGATGGTGGATTAAGGGTCAACGGTAAAGGAAAGAAAATGCGCAAACCCCGGACGATATACTCATCCCTTCAACTGCAACAGTTGAATCGGCGGTTTCAACGGACGCAGTACCTCGCGTTGCCTGAACGAGCAGAACTTGCAGCCAGCCTGGGACTTACTCAGACACAGGTTAGAATAATTAAATAATTTTAAATAATCAAGCATTTGTCCTAATAATAAAAAATTTCAAGGGAAGTGTTATATGCAAAGCCTGATACCTCATCAAGTTGAAGTATCAAAATCAAACTTACAAGCTTGTTTTTATTGACTACAAGTGGTCGTATAAAAAAAATACATTTAGTAGACAAAACAAATACATCCCTAGGCAATTTTGTTTTCAGTAACGTACGTTTATAATGTTATCACGTTGAATTAGGGACCGATTCTGCCGCATAACAGAAAAATGTTATGGCAAGGCCATATTACACTCTAACATTATGCTACTGAATCATACTGAATACCGTCAAAATGTCATGTATTTGCTCTAAACTCAGGCGTTTTACACATAAACTGCAACGTCACTCGTATGTTATGAAGCTGTGTCAGAAACATACTGTTATCTAAGATCGTTTTTTTGACATTTGTTCGGTTTCTAGGTTAGGTTTTCTTTATGACAACCTGAGAAATACGCCTGGCTGCGCACCAACCACATGGTTTTGTCCATATTTAGTATGGAAAGTTCTTCATAACATGGCCTTTCCATAACATTTTTCTGATATGCGGCAGAATCGGTCCTTTAATTTACTTTCCATCAAAGTAGCAATGAAATGAGTTCTAAAAATTAGTATCCCTATAAAATAAATTGTGATAATAATGATGAATTAACCGTTGAGTTACTATCTAAAAAAATCCGACTTAAGGAAAAGCTCGAACTGATTGCTGAGCATGAAAACAAAATAGTACAAAATTACTGAGGAACAAGATTTGTTATGAAATTCATGTATTACCACAAAATTACCTCGAAATTGGCAACTTTTTTATAACTAATTAGCATCAAAATTAATTAATAAAGTAGTATCATTACCCTGGGATTCAGTCAGACGAGTTATAATAATAAAAAATAGTATAAAAGTGTTATATGTTATTTATAATATATCACCAGAATGAAATACTAAAAACACACGTACAGTATTTGTTCTAGGTGTAATAAAATTAGCTTGCAGATAGTAACTTAATATCTACTTAGACTTTAGCTCCCCCGTGAATTAGTGGTTAGAGCTATGGCATTTCAATCAAAAGTGTCAGGGTCGATACCCGTCTCGGGCAGCCTGATGCCAAGCAGTAGTGACATCGGATTTCACTTCAAAATATAGATTGCAATATGTTTCCAAGCAAAAACAGCCTCTCAGGGCATTGCTGTAATAACACAATCAGAAAAGTGTTGGTCTTTAAAAAGATAAACTACATCTTGGATAGTAAGGACCAATCTATGAATTTGTACAAATAAAGTCGTTCACAACATTAAGCAGTGCTAAATAAAGCTAAAAAAATGTAATAGATCGGATTGTAAAATAACAAAACATACTTGGAGTCAAAATTGATCAATAAAGTAATATCAGTAATAACTAAAAACCGCCCCCAAAGGGGCTATGGTGATTTCGAATATTTATATAAGTCTTTGAAAATTGATTGGTCGTTCATTTTATTATTTTCATCAAAGAAGTAGATCATAGTTCACATATGCACGGCTATCGTTTAATGAATAGTCAACATCTAAAGCCTCTTACGATAGAGACCTAAAAAGTTGCCGTTCACTAAATAATACCTTGCTTGAATATCATTATACACTAAAATCTAGCAATACAGTTATTAACAAATATAATTACATATGCCTTAGCTTTCTTACGGTCGGACGATAAATAAAAGATCCACGTTTTGTCGTGGTTCTCATGAAAATTCCCGAAAGGGGTCTTCGCGACGTACATATCTAATGTATCAAAGTCACTTTAGAATTCAATCCAATATTAATTCGATTCGACAATATAATTTTACTACATACAATCGGTGCATGTGGCAGACAGACGATGACAACGACAGCTGATAGTGAATTTATAAACATAATCGCCAAGTATTGTACCTGAATTTAAATTGAATATTATAATAGATATTTATTTAGGGAAATTATACACTAAGTAAAGTCAATTTATTTTTTATATTTTTAATTTGGACCGCTAATGTTATTTAGTTGGCGTAGCTTCAACATTTTTATTACGGCGTGGAATATCTAGAATTTAGACAATGATTCACGTTTCTAAAATTTAATATATTAATTAATTAATTAATTTATTTACAACCATTTACCAAGTATATAGAAGTCAATAGTTTCAAATAATCTTAAACAATTTTTTTACAAGTGCTTTTGACAAAAAACAAGTGTGATATGGATTTACGAGTATAGATCAATATTGTAAGTAAATTTTTTGCTTTTTAATTTCTTAAATTTTTTTCTTTTTTGATAAGGTACATAATCTATTCCTTTATAGGTATTTTTATATTCTGCAATCATCATTAATATTGTAATTTCATAAAAAGTTGTTTCTGACAGAAAACCTGACGAAGAAACGCTATACATTTTTTTAAGTATATTTTTTTATTTAAATTTTAAATATTTCATTTAATAACATAATAAAATATGCCCATCTCAAATTGATAGATCAATTCGGTTAGAAATGTGATTATTATTTTAAATAATATGTATAGTAACAATTGTTGTATTTAATGTTTATGAGGAAAATGATATTTTAATAAAAATAAGAGGATTGAGTCTTGTTTTATGTATAAGTATGTTAAAATAATTGAAAAATTTGCTATTATAAAATATTCAAAATTAATTATATACATAAATAACAGTCATTGTTATTTTGTTAAAGCGCGTATATATTACTAAAAGTATTTTCATATCCACAAATCAACAGATCGATTTTTAATCAACTTTATGAAAAAGTTTGAATTAAACATTTTAAATATAAGAAAAATCTGCTAAATAATTTTGAACTAATCAATTTTGAAAACAATCAAATCTTTGAGTCCATCAATATATAAATAATAAATTTAAAAGAAACTTTAATTGATCAATATATGTAAGCATTTGATTCATTAATATTTGTAAATACATTACAAAATCATCCTCAATTTTGTACTAACTTAGCAAGGTGACAATAATATATGAAAATGAGACCTTAAAAGGAGTTAATTAATCACATTAATTTAAACTCCTTTTAAGGTAAATAGGCAAAAAATGATTTTTTATAAAATGTGTATTTAGAAGTGCAAAATAAGTTATAAATCTTAGTGAAAAAATATCTATATTGATTAATGAATCTGATCCATTGTCAATACTGACACTTGAGACATTTGTACCATCAATTATAATTAAAAAAATATTGTTGACAGCTATTATTAAATACTGTCAATAGTGAAAAATTAGCATTTTTGCAGTGTTATTTGCAGATAATTAGAAGAATATAAATTACACAGTAAATATTATTTTTTGTTTTAGCATAAAACAGCCGTGATTTGTTTCAACCGTTCTATTATTTAGGGATATCCCATAATAAACGTTCGTGCTCGGTGGAAAGCTAAAGCTAGAATATTATATTGCCACACGATCCATCATTATTGTATTTACTAATTGGTGTCGGGTCAAATGGGTAATTAGTGCAAGCAGAACGCGGACGGCGAGGGCGCCGAGGGTTGCTTCAACCCTAAACCGATTCGGGGCTACTGTAACATAAGCGCGTGCGGGAAAAGTTCCAAGTTGCGGATAGGAGCACATCCATAACAACATTCATATGAGGACGGTTCTGTTAGAGAAAATATGCTTTGAATATTTTTTTTATTTTACCATATAATTTACAACTTCTTTAATCGGCATATAGTAAATTTAAAGATAATATACAATTAGATTAAAATGACAAATTGACAATAGTAGAAGTAACCAGTGTTAGTTCTACTTCAAATACAAAATACATTTGTTTGGGGCTTTGAATATTAAGGACTAAAATGTATACAACTAGTGGTACATTACATCATGCCTTAAGACAAATTGCTGAAACTTTCCGTACTGAAAATTAAAATTTTTAAAAAAGCTTTAGAATGTTTTGAAAACTTTGAAAAATGATTTTTTTGAAAAATTTTGATTATTTTCATATCTGATTTTTTTATTCTCTTTATTGAATTACAATCTGTCTTTACAAAAGGGAAGACATTCAGTAATTTTGATGATATATGAAATATTAAACATTAGATCTAAAAGGTTACCCAGTAGTAAGCCTTTTCAATTTTGATATATTAAATTTAAATTTTGTGATTATATAGAGATCTGAAATTTTTAACTTTTTTTAAAAGCAATCGCGCTGCGTAGCTGTTTTAGAAACGAAATATTGAAAGCATAGTCTAACGAATAAACATTGATACGAAACCCATAGAAACATAAATATGAAAATGTATTTATTATTAAAATCTCTATAAAATATCTGATAATTTGATGTGCATATATCTAATGATCATTTTTGACCGCCAAATGGCATTTTTTTTACTTTTTTTACTAGATCTCTGAAACTACTAGGCTCACTTTCTCAAAAATTTAATCAATTCTTCATTCTGTCAATACAAGTAAAATGTTTTTTGAACTATTGAAATCGGACGCTTCGTTCTCTCAAACTCAATGACCATTTTTGACACTTTTTGCCCCGTATCTTTGGACCTGCCTTGGTCAAAAACTAATCAGCATTTCTCTTAACAATAGGAATCGAATGTTTTTTAATTCATACAAATCGGTTGATCCGTGTTCTCGAAATCGTCGTCGGAAAATTGTATCCGCACATACAAACACACACACGTACATCCATTGTATCTAATGTATGTCAATATGCTTAGAAGGTATTTTGTAAAAAAAAATTATTTTCGTTATTTTTGCGATTATAGTTTCTGAAATTCTTATATTATTATTTTCATATTCTTCATAGGAACATTTAGTTAAAAATATAAAAAATGATAGTAAAAAATCATAATGAAAAAACTGTCTAATTAATATTACATCAAGTATATAAAAATATAAAATTTATTATCAATTATAATTTTTTACGAAAGTTTTATACCTCTCTCTTTCAATATTTTGAAAATAGTTA